GCGCTTCCTGGACTTCCATGTCTACTTCCTTCACCACGTTTGGGTAGTTTTCTTTCATTATTTTTTCAAATAGATTTCCAATTTTTTGCTCTTTCTCATCTCCTTCTGGAACCCCTATGATGCGAATGTTGGAATGGCTGAAGTTGTCCCAGCAGCTGCTGACACTATCCTTGTTTTTTTTTTGAGTTTTCTTCTTGTTCTGATTGGTTGTTTTTTTCTTCCTTATGTTCCAAATCATTGATTTGATTCTTGGCTTCCTTCACTCTACTGTTGTTGCCCTGTGAATTGTTCTTTATTTTAATTAGTGTATTTTTTGTTTCTGATTGGATCTTTTTTATGCTTTTGAGATCCTCACTAAATTTCTTGAGCATCCTTATAACCAGTCTTTTCAACTCTCCATCTGATAGATTGCTTTTTCCTACTTTGTTTAGCTATTTTTCTGGAGTTTTGATCTGTTCTTTCATTAGCTATGTTTCTTTGTCTCCTCATTTTGGCAGCGTCCCCATGTTTGTCTCTGTGTATTGGGTAGAGCTGGTATGAATCCCTGTCTTGGTAGCATGGCCTAATGTAGTATGTGTCCTGTAGGGTCCAGTGGTACAGCCTTCCCTATCACCCATGCTGTGTATTTAAGGTGTGCTCTTTGTGTGGGATGAGAACACCCTCCTCTTGTAGTTGAAACTTGGTTGCTGTTGGTAGGTCAATGGGAGGGATTTACCCAGTCCAGTCTGCTGCACTGACTGGCTGTGAGCAGTGACCGCCAACCTCTGCCTTCTGTGGAGGATCAAGTTGTTCAGGGGCAGGGTGGTGGTGCTCTGATGTGGTCTGTAGTTGTCCAATGGGTGCATGCACAGGCCCTGGGGTTTTCAGGTGGTGCAGGCCAAGTCAGCTCAAGGCTGCCCTTCTTGAACTATAGAGGTGGCTGTACTTGTGCTGGGCTTGGAGATTCCCAGGTGAAGCCAAGCTGTGAATGTGGCTGCAGCTAGCACCAGAGCTGGGCCACTTAGCAAGAGGTTTGGGGGCTAGGGAGTCACTGAGACCAGCTATTGCTTGTTTGAAAGGATTTTGGAAGTTGTGAACCATGAGCCAAGACCAGCCATTCATATGGAAAAGCCACCCTTAACAGCTGTAAATTGGGTGAGACTGAGCCTCTGGGAATTTCCAGGGCAGGGAAAACAGTGCTAACCAGATCGATGGAGTCACTGATATGGCACCCGTTTGCTGGCTTTGTGGCTATGTTGTGGGGAGGGCTCATAAAAGGGACAGTGGTCTCTGCCTTCCTTCCTGTATGGGAGAAAGCTGTCTCCCAGCTCTTGCCTTGATGCCAGACCCTGCAGTTCCGTCCTTTATTCCATTGGTGCCTTCCAAGCTGCTACTCCAGTTCTGGAGCTCAGAGGGAGTGAGTCTCAGTAGTTTGTGTGTGTGTTCTTTAAGAGGAACTGCTTGGGACTCCAGAATTTTCTTCCACCAACTCAATACCTGCTGGTTTTTACAGTCAAAAGTTATGAGGACTTGCCTTCCTGTTGCTGGAACCCTGGGCTGGGGGCCTGGTGTGGGGCTGGGACTCCTTGCTCCCGAGATAGCCCTCCTGAATTTTATCTACCACATGTGAATGTGGGGCCACCTGTTCTGTGTCTCCATCTCTATGTAGATAGATGCTGTTTCTTTAATTCGGTAGCTGTCAGACTTCCATTAAACTTGATTTTTGACTATCCTGAGTGATGGTTGTTCTATAGTTTTCTGGTAATTTTGATGTAGTTGTGTGAGGAGGCAATCCATCTTGACCAGAAGTTATACCATTTTTTTAACTTCCTGTTTTTAGGGCCTCTTGGTCAATAATGAATGAATAGCTTGTTAGGGCTCTCAGTTGTCTTCTCAGTAAGCGCAGCCAGGCAGTTCCCAGGGATATGTAAAATAATAGCAAGACCATCTTTGACTCTTTTTTTCTCTGGATCTCTGTTAATTTTCTGCTTGGTATGCTGCTTTGTTGCTTGTACCAGCTAATATTGTGATCTCCTTATTGTTCTTGAGATTTTGGTTGTTTTGACAACTTTGTCCAGTTTGTCAAGCTTTTTGGGGTGAGAATTTGCTAAACTTCTATTTGCTAAACAACTATGAATTGTTGAAGTTATCTTATATTCTTTTATTTTTTTGGTGGTAAAAACCACATGTCAATTTACCCTCCCAACCATTTTTAAGTGTACAGTAGTGTTAACTCTGTGTGCATTGTTGCTCAGTAGATCTCTAGAACTTTTCATTTTCCAAACCTAAAGTCTCTATCCACTGGACAACACCCTTAACTTCTTTTTCCCCCAGTCCCTGACAACCACCGTTCTATTTTTTTGTTTCTGAGAATTTGGCCAGTTTAGTAATCTAATATAAGTGGAATCATACAATATTTGTATTTTTGTGACCTGTTTCACTTAGCATAATGTGCTCAGTGTTCATCTGTGTTGCAGTATATGACAGAATTTCCCTTTTTTTGAAGCTTGAATAATATTTGATTTTATTATGTGTGTACTACATCCTTCACATCTTCATCCATTTTTATTTTATTATTATATTATATATTATTATATATTTTATACTCACCCGAGGGCATTTTTTCATTGCTTTTTAGAGAAAGAAGAAGGGAGGGAGGAAGGGGGGGGAGAGAGTGCACACGCGAGAATGAGAAGAGAGAAGCATCAATAGGCTTCTCTCTTGCACTCATCCTCACTGGGAATTGAACCTGCAACCTGGGCATGTACCCTGACGGGGAATTGAACCAATGACATTTTGGTCCATGGGATGATCCTCCAACCAACTGAGGCACATTGACCAGGGCAGAATATTTTTTAATAGCTTATCTAGAATTAGATTTTTGAGAGCTGTTCAACTCGTTTCTTAAATTCTTTGCTACTAATGTCGTTGGTACAGTCATAGTTGTTACGGTTTTAGGGATCCATTTTTCCCAATGTATTTCTAAATAGTTACAAATGAATAGAATATTTTAAGTTACAGAATGTTTTTGAGAAGGAAAAAGAGAATAAAGTCACTTGTATGTGGTTATCTTAGTGATGATCTATTATAACAATCAGTATTTTTGCTTTGCCTTTTATAAGACGAGCACATATTTTCATTTTATTTATCACAATGAGTCTGTGGTAAGGATATAAGACAGTCTGGCTCATAGTCAGATGGTAAGTGTTGCACTTCAATTGGATTTCCCATATGGGCAATGTGGTTCAAAATTCCATATTCTAATATACAATGCTGTCTCTTTTGTTAGTAGTTTTGGTTAGTAGTTCAATTGATTATACTGATGATACTGAGGTCTTGAATTTGATACAGGTGTCTTTTAGCTTCTCCCTAGAAAATTCAGTTTGGTCCATAGACAGCAACTTTGGTAGCCCCTTCACAAATGTATCATATTTACACAGATCAGGGAGTGGTAGAGGTGGAAATATTATTGGCTCAGTGTCCAGATGTATTTGGAAAGGCATTCAGTGCTCATAATGGAAGTATAGATGCAGTAGAATTGTGGTTAAGAGCAAGGGCTTGGTAGCCTATTTTCCATTATTTGTGTTCTGGCTCTCTTGGATGAACCAGGGAAGTCACTTAGCCTTTCCATGCCTCGTATTCACTAGTATTTACCTTTTGGGGTTTTATAAGGATTAAATAGTTGAATGCAGATAAAGTTCTTTGAATAGTGACTGGTACTCAGTAAACATTGTTTTTGTATGGACACAGAATAAAATGTAATCTGTGTCAGTTGATTAATGTGTGAAATTGCAGCTTTAAAATTAATGTAATAATGAAAAATATTGAAAAATTGTGACCATCAATTAGGTAGGATAGTAGAAACTGTTTTTTAGAATTTTGCTGTTTAAGAAACATACATTAGACCCACACATTTGTAGTAATAATAATAATAGCATCTTAATAATGATTGTGTTCTTTATACAAATTAATTATTTTAATCCTCAAAGATATGGTTCTTATTCAGATTTTATGGATAAAGACTGAAGAAACTGAGGCACAGATACATTAAATAAGTTGCCTCACTTATTTAGCTCACTGTCAGTTGCTATTTAGCTCACTGTCCTTGAGCTAAATAGTGCAGTAGGATTTTTAAATCCATGTCTGCTGGCTTCATAATTATTATCAATCTTAACTACTTTACCATACTGCCTACATATATTTAGCTATATTGCTACTATTTTGTAAACCAACTAGGGCATCTGTTGGATGAATGACTAAGCGTAATAATTATCTTTCACAAACAGAATTATAAAAACTGTAAAAATGTGGTTGAAATACAATCCAAATACAGTTTATTTTTTTCTTCCTTTGTAGATTTTAAACAATTTTATTAGAAAGTAAAATGAACTAGTATAAAGTGATTGAGTAACAATTATGTTTTCATTTTTAACTTCTTTCCAGTAATAATAGAAACCAGTCAGAATACATTTCAAATTTATGACCAAATAGTATCCAGGTATAATCTTTAATTAGGTAAGGCTTAATAAGTCTTTTTTTTTAAGTTGGTCTATTTTTATTTTGTCAGGTCATTCTCCTATTTATTTCAACCCTGCTTTTAACTCGCCTTATAATGCTATCCTATGTATAGTTTAAAACACATCTGGGGACATATTTTCAGGTGGGGATTTTAAACAGTATGCCATTTCAGTTATCTCAAGCACTCTTGCTGTCTGCTGTGGTGACCACCACCTCCACTGCCACGAATGTGCATGAGCCTTTGTCATGTATTAGGTATAGTGTATCATTTCCATTCAGCAGAGTAAGAAGCTCAGGCCTAGAAAGGTCAGGTAGCTTGTTCAATGTCATTTGCACAATTGATTTTTGTATTTTAACTAGTTATTGATGCTATTACTTTTTGATGAACAGTAATTCATAAACAGTTTTTGTGTTGGAAATTGTATTTTAAAGAAAGTAATTTGACTACTAGGAGAAAAATATTAAGTACCCACTAACTTCTATTTAACATTTTGTGTTTTAAGGAATTGAAATTGCCATTCACTTTTTTAAGTGGACATATTCATGAATTGAGGATCCATGTACCATGGACAAAACTGGGTTCAGAGCCAGTGGTAATTACCATCAACACAATGGAATGCATTTTGAAACTTAAAGATGGAATGCAGGTATGAAACCGTTGTTTGTTTATATTAACTAATTTTGTAGTTATTAGTGTTTGATATTACTTTAACTTTTGGGATATGTCATCTTTAAAATAAATAAATCTTAGCTTATATACTTATTATTTTTAACTGTCTTAACATAGTTAATTGCAAAAGGGTATTGTTAAATTTAGGTAAAATGTCCTAGGGGATATTTTCATACTAATTTCACTTAACCTAATCATAGCATTCATAAGGATCATGTAGATTGCTTATTACCTGTATGCACTAGAAGTGGTGCCTGATTATATCCAATTTTCAAGTCAAGATTTTTGAACTTTTGCAAAGTAACTGCATAATTTTTTTACCTATGTGACATTTCTAAATGAGATGAGAATCTCAAGTTATTTTTGGGAGATAAAAATATATTGAATTTGCCTTTATATACCAAATTTCGTGGTGGTTCTGAGGTTTTGGCATCAGAAACTGACTCTTTTCAGACTTATTTCTTCTCTGACCCATCTGACATTTCTTCTTAGTGTTTTGTTTCTTTTTTTAATATAGGGGTAATATTGATTTTAAGACATTTCTACCAAAAATTTTCTAATCTAGGAAGCAAATATGTCTGGAGAACAGCATAATTGTGATCTATTTACTTTCATCTTGCAAAACAGTATCTCTGTCATTTGTTTTCATTACTTTTTGCTTAACCCACATTTAACTTTCAGCTTTAGGGAAGACTTTCTGGCTTGAAATGAATTGAAGAAAATTAGTAAATTGACTATTTTCATAAGCATCTTAAGGCAGTTTTAGTATATCCTAAGGAAACATAAATCTCTGTGAAATTAGTTATGGCTACTTATGAATTATTAAAATAATTTCCTATATTAAGTAGATACTTTGAATGTCATATTAATTGACTGGGCTGAAATCTCTTTTCCTCTTGATGAAATCTTTGATTCAAACCTCTATTATCCAATATAATTTAACTAATGTAATTCCTGGAAGTAAGTAGACCAGTGATGAGTATTTCCATGAAAAATTATTTTGTGAACTTAAAATATTTGGGAGATTGATTTAGGAATCTGTAGATAGTGATATTGCAACGAAGTTTTATTTTACTTTTATATATGGTAGTACTTAAATGGTTCTTAATCATCATTTGTCTTTGGAATTTAATTTTTTTAAGAGTCTGGATTTGGTTATGCCACCCATGCAGTGCTTCATTATGATGAGAAAAAAATCCAGACACTAAGTACTTTTTCAATGGGTAGGTGGAAGTTTCAAGGCCAGATGTCCCATAAGAAACACATTTTAGAAAAGGCAAATTACAACTAATTATAGAGGCTGCAGAAAAAGATTTGTAACACATGACTTAGTGCCACCTAGAACTAATATTTGATATTGGACCATGCAGATGGCTACTGCAGGAATGATCAGATTTCCTGCTTGCATGGTATTTGAAACCTGAATTTGTGGTGTGTATAGCAAAAGGTCAAAGTGTCATGATTGTAAACCACTCTCACAACAAGTATTTTTTACAGATGTTTAAAATTTTGAGGTGGAAAGAATTGTGAGAATTGCAGCTGACATTTGGACAAATTATCCAGCAAAGTATACCCCTGGACCCCTGGAGAGCAATACTTGCTAGTGATTGGAATTAATTTTTCAGTGAAAACATAGATGAAACACATTTTTAAACAGTTTATTTTCCTATTTTAAGCTTTGATTAGTAAAGTAGGAAATTAAAAAAAAATTTATTGATTTTTAGAGGTGGGGAGAGAGAGAGATAGACACTGATTTGTTGTTATACCTATTTGTTGCTTCTTGTATGTGCTTTGACTGGAGATCAAACCCTGGCATGCTGAGATGATGCTCTAACCAACTGAGCTACCTGGTCGTGACAATGCAGTGCTTTTCAACCTGTGTATGGCAAGAGGCACACTGGTGTGCCACAGGAATTTTTAAAGCATGCAATACCTGACCATTTATTTAGTCCGGGGCACTGACTTCTTTTCTCTTAGATTGTCAGATAAAAAAATGACAGCAGCCAACACAACAATAGTCATCTGGTGAGAATGAATCAAAATTATACTATTTTTTGTCAGATCAGCAAAAAACATATTTTTTGGTGTGTTACAGAATTTTAGTAATTAGTTTTTGTGTTCCATGGAATGAAAGAAGTCGAAAATGGCTGTTTTAATATGTTGTTGAATTTGGTTTGCTAATTTTGTTGAGGATTTTTGCATCTGTGTTCATCAGGGATATTGGCTGTAATTTTATTTTCTTGTGGTGTCCTTGTTGGATTTTGGTATCAGGTCATGTTGACCTTGTAAAATGTGTTTGAAGTGTTCCCTCTTTATTTTTTGGGGAGGTGTTTGAGAAGGATTGATATTAATTCTCTTTGAATGTTTGGTAGAATTCACCAGTGAAGCCATCTGCTCCTGGACTTTTGAGTGTTGGGAGGTTTTTAATAACCAATTTAATCTCTTTACTAGTAATTGGGACATTAAGTTTTGATTTGTCTAAAAAAATCTTTATTTCATACTCAGTCTTCAATGATAATTTATTTGGTCACATGACATTGGCAGTTATTTTATCTTGATACTTTGAAAATATTATTTCACTATTGAAATAGTTCTGTTTTTGCATTTGAGGTTTTAACCTTTCAGTGGTGTTGTTATTTTATAATTTTTCTGTAAAGTGTATATATATATTTTCTGGTTGTATATAAGATATTTTCCCCTATTGTTTAGTTTTTAGTATTCTTCAGTTTCACAGTAGTAACTCTAGAGTGAATTTCTTTTTTGGTATCCTCCTTGGGATTTATTGTGTTTCCTCTATCTAAGGATTTATGTTTTTTGATTACTCCTGTAAAATTTCCACTTTATTTCTTTGAATATTAATTTATTCCTATTTCTGTCTTATGAAACTCCCATTTTCACATTTAGACCCTCTCAGTTTTCACACTTAGACCTTTGCATTCTAACCTTTCATGTTTTTTATCTCTTTGTTTCTCTGTGCTGCACAGTGGGTAATTTTTTTCAAATCTGTTTTCTATCAAGTTCAGTGACTCTCTCAGATCATGAACTTATGTGCACCTTGCAAGAAAGTTGGAAATTTACTGTCATCCAGTGGTTCTTAAAGTGTGATCTGAGGACCCCTAGGGATTCCCAAGTTTTTTTAGGGTACACATAAAGTTAAAACTGTTTTTATACTAATACTAAAACATGATTTACTTCTTTTCTTTTAAACATTTATTTTTATTTTTATTTTATTTATTTATTTTTAGAGAGGGGAAGGGAGGGAGAAAGAGAGAGTAACATCAGTATGTGGTTGCCTCTCATGTGGCCCCCACTGGGGACCTGCCCGCAATCCAGGCATATGCCCTGATTGGGAATCGAACCTGCGATGCTTTGGTTTGCAGCCGTGTTCAATCCACTGAGCTATACCAGCCAAGGCGATTTACTTCTTTTCATCATCTTTTGTTTATGAGGGTAGAGTTGAATTTTTCAGAGGATACTTGATGTATGATATTGCAACAGATTGAAGGCAGAAGCGATATGAGAATTCAGCAATTTTCTTTTAGGCCAGATTTTTAAAAATGTAAAATAATTTCATACTTTTTAGTAATTTATTTTGTTTTGGAAAATATAGATTTTTTCATAAAGCATAAAACTATAATTTATAATTATGACATGATGATTCATTTAAAAATAATTATAAAAGAATATATATATAATCTATGTTTAAACTTTTTCTTCTTTTTTACTTTTCCTATGGCAAATATGAGTATATATTCTACCCATATGGTAAATAATGGGTAGATATACAGAAAAGGTTTGGGGACTCTGACTAATTTTTAATGGGTTAAAGGTCCTGAGATCAAAACATTTAAGGATCACTGGTACCGAGTAGAGAACCATTGAATTATTTTAAGCCAGTAAGCTACTTGATTGAATTTTAGGAAGATGACAAGTTTTTCAGAGTGAAGGGATAGATTGGAAGAGGTGATTTCAGATAATTAGTGAGGTTTACTTTGTGATATTTTAGGAGGAAAATGGTGGGGACTAGATAGAATTAAGTCATTGGCTATGCATAGAGAACTGAGCACAGGTTCTGGAGGAAAATATAGAGAGGAAGTTGAAGTTCAAGAATCACTTCTGGAATTTTGGTTTAGGATAATTGGGATAGTTCATGGTGCTGTTAATTTAGATTATTTTTAGAGATTACATACTTGTCTGTCAAGCTCATCATATATTAAAATAATTAGTAAGTTAGGTCTCACTGAAGATTAATATGTATTGGACATTATTCACTGTGGGTAATCATGCACAAAATTATCACTTTAGTATTTAATTTCCTTTATTTGAAGGAAAAGTTGAAAAGTTCAGTCAAGAAATCTTTACTGAGCACTGTACTAAATACTGATGATTTAGTGATAAATATTTCTCTCCTTTTGAATGTTTTAAGGAAAGATTGCTATATCTTGAGTGGTTTGTGATTTTAATTTTAGCATAGAAAATTTGTAGTCTTAGAACCCTCCGAGGGTAAAATATTTTGTTTTAGATTTAGGTTCATTTTTGAGCTGAAATAACTGATTTAAAAACATTATTGAAAAGGAAATAAAAAAACCAAACCACAAACAGATACCTTGTGGATGGATGAATATGACAATAAATGTTTTAAACTGTAATATGTGCTTTAAGAGTATGAGAACAGCCCTGGCTGGTGTGGCTCACCAGTGGACTGAAGGCTGGCCTGTGAAAGGGTTGCACGTTTGATTCCCAGGCAGGGCACATCCCTGGATTGAGGGCCGGGTCCCCTGGTGGGGAGGGCACGTTAGAAGCAGCCACACATTGATGTTTTTCTCTGTGTCTTTCTCCCTCCTTCCCTTTCTCTAAAAATAAATAACTGAAATCGTTAAAAAAATAAATAAAATTTTGAGAATAGAAGAAATCATTGTTTCTTGAACTTTACCTGTGTTTGCATGTATCCCGATTAAAAATAGTGGAAGGGGAGTT